ACCATCTCGCCGATATTCGTGCCAGCTCGTTCCAACTTTCATTCTCGTTCCCCTCTCGTACCCCTCCATCCTTCCTCTGCGCGAGATAAAACTCCGTCCCTGACTCTAATTCGAGTTCGACCGCGCGCAATTGCGCGTACGCGCCCCCTCCCCTCCCCTCTTCTTTTCCCAAGTAAAGTATAGAATATGGTGGATATGACATCTCGAAACCAGTGGAGATCTCGTTCAATTTCAACGTGGTCGAGAAATCCAGAAACGATTCCAAAACGGAAACGTTTCGTCGAGGATATATATATATATATATGGTCGTAAATTTCTCGTAAGTTTGCAGCATCGGTCGATCCGCGGGGCAGCTAGCCTAATTTCGACCGGAACTCGAGCATCCGCGAAGAAATACGCGAACGCGCCGCTCGGCCGACTCGTTATTTAGCCGGGGACCGGTGTCCGGTGGGGGCGAGGCGATGTTATATCGTGGCAGAGGCTAAAGAGTATATGGGGGGGGGAGGGGTATTCTCGGGTATTCTCGGTGAGCACTCGCCTCGTCGTGGCTTGCTGCCGTTGTAATAACCCCCGTAGATCATACAGCCGCACGCACACCGCTCTCCGAGCCGAGGCCTCGTCGGGTACAACAACATTGTGCGGCACACGGCCTCGAACACCAGCAGGTATTATTCATTGAATGGACGGAGGAGCGGCCCGATCCGGCTTCGAAACGCACGACACAGTTTCGCTTGGCGGGAGCAGCCCCTTAACACCGCTCGTTTCGATCGTCCCGGGATGCTTTATCGAGGGAAGATTCGACATTGGTTGGGGCGAGTAATCGATGCGCTCGTCGATTACTTAAAGAATTTCTAAAAGATTCCAGGGAAGGGATTTGACGCGTTCCTCGTCAACGTTCGAATAACGAATCGGATGAATATCATCTTATCGAGTTTCTTTTTCGGTTCACTCTAAGATTGGTGATAAAATAATACGGAGATGTTGGCGTGAGATCGTTCCGCGAAATGAAGACGCGAAAGATGGCGAATTAACATTTTACAAAGATCCTCGGAATACAATCGGGCAATCGAGCAACGGTGAAACGATGTGTTCCTGTTTCCGAGTGGCAAGAAACGAATGAAGCACGAAGAAGGGGGGAAAAAAAAGCGGCGAAAGTTTCGCTCGAGACGACTAGCAGCCCGTATAACTCGTGGTTCGGGCAGATTTATACGAGCAGCTCGGATGGAACACGACGCTCGGTGAGAACTGTCTCGAGAATTCGCTCCTCCATCACGGGGATCGTGCTTCCCCGTAACCAATATACTCGGATCGGAACCTCTTCCAAAACTAAATACCAATCATTGAAATCATTCCCTTCGTTTAATTATTCTCCATTTAATTATTTTTCCATTCCAACCAATTCTCTTCTCCGTCTTCCTCGTGGATTATAAATATTCCCCACAAATTCCCCACCTTCTCCAACGAACTTCTCGTTTCGTTCGAAATTCATCTAGCTTAATCGAAGGTAAGGCGACGACACTCCGCCTCGAATTATCGAAAATCCAATGCGGAGGGCAACACTCGCGCGCCCTCGAGCCTGGCCGTGCCTCGATAAATCACACGTTCCTCGATGCCCGGAATCTTCACAATTGTATTATTTATGAAACTATCAATAGGGTAATTTATTCGCGGGCGCGGGGATTCTTCAACAGGCGGGCCCCTCGGACGATTTATCGCCGGCAAGGCGAAAAATGCTGCGCTTTTTAATCCGGACTCGGTGTCCGGCCGCGGGTTCGAGTCGCGCGAACCTACAATGTTCCCCGTGATTTATCAATCGGCTCGCGGAGGATTAACAGTCGCCGCGGAACCGGTAATGGTCGATCGATCGATATATTAAAAAAAAAAAAAAAAGGAAGAGGAGGAACGCGAGCGCAACCGCGTTAAATTAATGGATCTCTCGTATCCCGTGCACGGGATTCGCCTTAATCGATTGAAATCCGTCCTTTGGGATACGCTCGCGGCGCCGATTAATCCCCCTCTCTCCTCTCCTCCTCCCTCCTTCATCCGTGTTTCGTTAGATGCGATTTTCAAGGGACACCCTGTTCATGCCTCGTTGAACGTTCTCACCGGATCCGGTTTTCGTTGGAATCACTCTGGAGGATTTTCGTGATTCTCGAGCCAACAACCCTTTCGAGGTGGATGGTTAAGGCGAGGCGCGCGACCGCGATGATTTATCAATAGGTTTAACGGAGGATCTACAGGAGCGGTAATGAGGCCCTTTTAATCCTCTTACATCGTTTAAGCGTCGTTCCTGCGGAAGTCGCACGAATTCTCGTCCACTCGCTGGCTAACGATACTCCTTGATCCTTTCCCTTATTTTCCTCTCCTTACCTGTTTTAATTCATGTAAATCTCTCTCTCTCTCTCCTCGCTCTAACTGTGGTTGGGTTAAATTTTTCTTCTTTGGAGAATTAAAAAAAATTTGTTTCTTTGGTATTCAATTTTATTATTATTACATTCCATATATATATATATATATACACATATATATATATATATATATACACATATGTATATGGAGAAGGAAGTAAAAAAGGTGGATAGAAAAGTTGGCTCAACAGCTCGTGACTAATTATTCTTTTAATTGAGACGGTTTTCGCGTCCACGCGCTTGGAATGTCGCACGCGTGCAACCGTGTCTGCGGGGTTACGTGGCCGGCACGCGACATAAATGCAACACTGCAAGCAACGCACCGTGCGTGGTGAACTCATGTGCGGTCCTCGGTGTACGCGTTTCTTTATAAAGTCGGGAGAACCGTCCTCCTCCTCCTCCTTCTTTTTCTTCGTTCGTTTCTCTCTCGCAGCGTTTCGTGACCGGCAGGCATTAATTATGTGTCGTGCCCTTTAATACGAATCTGGCTTTATGACGCGAAGGAACGAGAGAGAGAGAGAGAGAGAGAGGGAGCGAGGGAAAAAAGAAGGAAGAAGAGGCGAAGACAAAAGGACGTTCCCGGGGACGGAATTATTTTTTCGCGTCTGGCCACCGGACCATGGAATCCTCTTCTCCCCTCCTCCTCGTCTCTATTTCTCCGCGTGTCTTCTATTTCGCCGGAACGATATTTATTCGGCGTTCTCTGACGAGGGTCCAGCTGTTTTCGTCCATCCATGATTTCTGTGAAACGACGAGAGTTTGATTGCGGTCCGGTTGACTGATTGGACGGTCCCGGCCTCGGACGTCGAGTCACGCTTGCGAAAAATATTCGCGAATATTCCAACTCCTCCGGTCGATTCGCCCTGGATGCTGTAACGATCTCTTTCTCTTTCTCTCTCTCTCTCTTTCTTTTTTTTCTTTTTTTTTTTTCACCACGAAAAAAAGCCAGCCGCTAGAATTCGAAACGAAATACGAACCGGACGATGGATCGGTGTAAAAGGAAGAGTGTAAGGGGGGGAGAGAGAGAGTCGGTGGCACAAAAAGCGAGGGAAAATCCATCGATCACGCGAGGCGATGCAAAGACACACGGAGAGGCGGGGAGAAGATGTACGTGCGTCCGTTGTTCTGTAATCTGGCAAGGATCTCTCATCCGGGGCCGTGTGTCATCTCAATCGGTGTGCCCGACCGAAAAATTTTCGTCCCGTTCCCCCGGTGCCGCCGTTTCGCCTAATAAAATCATCTGCATCCGGGCCACGAATTATCTGACGAATTCATCTGCTTATCGAGCAATAAAATGGCCCCTCGCGCGTCCACCTTCTTTGCCGATGCTATCTCTCCTCTCTTCTCCACCTTTCCCTTCCTTCCTTCCTCGTCTCCACGCGTAGGTGCCTAGACACATTGTGGCGCCATCCTCACAGACGAACCTCTCGTTCCTCCCTCCCTCTCCCTCTCTCTCTCTCTCTCTCTCTCTCTCTCTCTCTCTCTCTAAGAGAGGAACGTACATATATACCATCCTCTCTCCCTTCCTCGAGTTGCTCGATTTTTTATATTCGGATCGTTGGGCGCGATCGAGAGATCGCCGCGCGCGGGCTTCGAGTTTAATAAGGAACCTTTCCCCTCCCGTGTTATTTATAATCCCGCGGGGAAACTGTTCTCATAATCTCATCTAGAAATCTTGGAGCCATCCAAGGCGTATACCCTCTCCTCCGTCCTGAACTCCTGTTTTTTTCTAGGTTTTCGATAAAGCACCGCGAGGTGGTGGCGCGAGCGATCGAATTAATTAATTTTCCCAGAGATCGTCGACAGATTTTTCAGAATTTTCCGAGACGTTTCGAAGGGAAGTGTAGGAGAGTTTAAGTTAAGGTCTCGATTCGAATGAAAAGGGGGTTTTTCCTTCGGCGATATTACGGAGGCGATGTTCGTTCCCTCGAGCTCTCGTGGTCGTGGCAGTAAAGTTGTCGCGCGAAGCCAGGTATCAGGCCGTGCAATAAAAGAAACGTTAATTTCCTCGCGTTAAAGTTATTATTTATCGATATACGACGTAATCTCGGTGCCGGGATCAAGGGAATAGTTGGTTAGTCGGCCGATATTCACCCGAAACTGCGAGCCTCGAAACTCGGGATTCCTCGTCGCATTTTATTATCTCGATCGTTCATAAATTTCGTTACAATACAAGTATAAAGTATCCACCGCCTCCGCGATACGAAAAAGGTCGTCCAGGGTCCGGAGATGTTCCTCGCGTGGAGCATTGTCATCGTTCGCCCAACTTTTCAATGATCAATTATACGACGTTAAAATCGTATATTTATGAATTCCTACCTCTGGGAAAGAATGGCGAAAAATCGAAGAAAGTATATATAACCGAGCGCGTATTATAATCTCGATTAAGTAAGGAGAGAATATATATATTTCGAGTTATTTTTTTTTCTTTTTTTTCTTTTTTTTTTTTTTTTTTTTTTACTATCTTTCGAGATAAAATTTCGAGAAGAGTACAAGGTGATGGATAATGATACAATATTTTCGATCAATAAATCAGACAATATTCTAATATATCGCATCATCAATATATTTCGGATCTTTGCAAAACAAATGTGATATAATATGATGCAAGTATGGTGGATGACCAAGAGCCGCATCTCCTAAGCATATACGCAACAAAAATGATAATTATTACAATGTTATTTCTTATCGCTCGTTGCGTTCTAGGTATCTCTCTCTCTCTCTCTTTCTCTCGCTCGTTCTCTCTCTCTCTCTCTCTCTCGCTCTCTCGCTCGCTCTCTTTCTGTATTTACAGAATATCACACACAATAGAAATTACAGTAATACAATATTTTACAAGTGTTCTCAACTTTTTCTATCGTCCTCGAAAATTCTCGCTTCTTTTTTTCCCGTAGATAGCTCTAACTAAATAATAATAATAATAGTAATAATATATACAACGCTAAAACGTTCGGATACGGACGCGTTTCTTTTTTATTTCTTTCTTTCTTTCTTTCCTTTCTTTTTATTCTTATTCTTCTTCTTTTTTTTTTTATTTTTTAATTTTTTTTTTTTTTTTTTTTTTTTTTTTAACTTTTTTTTTTCGCTCAACTTTTCGACCAAGCATCGATCTTGTCCGGCATTAAAACATCGTTTCGCTCCACTATCAACGTTTTAATTAGATCCGCGAAAAAGTGCGTATGATTGGTCGAGGAACGATTAAACCGGAACTCGATGAGTCCCGATCTTTTGTTGTTCCGATTGATAAATCGAGGCACGAGCGTGGCTGGAATTGCGTTAACCGGCGCCGTTGGAAATTGCTTTCATTTAATTCGTAACGCTGTGAGATTACCGAGACACGATTTTTCGTGTTCGAGAACGCGTGACATCTCTCTTCCTCTCTTTCGCTTTGCTGTCTTCTCCCTTCCTCCCTCTCTCTCTCTCTGTATCTCTTTATATCTCTTGTTGCCGTAACGCCTATGTAGCTCGATTTAATCCATATTTACAATCGTCACAATTTGCAATCCGGGTAAAGGTAACTTTTTTCGATTCATTGGACTTCGAATCCTCGAGCCGCGGTTATTGTGCAGTTGGACGCCCGCCGTCGAAATTGTTAGCTAAGTCGGATAATACGATCCTCTGTTTTTAAATTGCGTTTTCATCGTGCGAAATATATATTGACTCGAAAGAGTGGTCCATCTCGTTCTAATTTTGCTCGCACGTGGTAGTTTTGCATGTATCTCGTTAGAACGAAATCGGCATTTCGAAAACTAAACTTTCTCCATTTTTTTCTTCATTTTCGAGAATCGATCGAACTCCGTTTATCCGAATCGATTTATAGAAATCAAACGTTTAATTATCCTTTCCAATTCTTATTGTTGTACAATGAATTAGAACAAAAAAAAAAAAACACGCATAAAATACAAAAATCCAAATTTGATTAAAAATTTCCGCAATTAGTACAAATCCAATTCTTAATGAAATATTCGTTCCCAACGTTTCCTTACATCACCTTCCTTCTTACATCGCGATTCCAATTCCATCCTCCTACACACAAATTATAATTCTCTGGAACCGATTCGAATAAACGGGTAGTTCTCTCGATTCCGCCTTCCCTCTTTCGAGCATCTTCTCCATCCCCGCAGTGACCTTGCCTGCACTTGCCCGTCCGATTCTCCATCCAAAAGTTGGTCGATCCTCGTCGATCGGCGACCGTTCGCCCCCTCGGTTGAGGAGGAAAACTAGTAAGCGGTCGCTTGATGATGCATCAACGGGTTGAAGTGCGGGCCAAGGTGATGGGGAGGCGGTGGACCCGGCAAGGGGCTGTGCTGGGGACCGACCGTTGGCGGTTGACAGACGTACCACTCCGTCAACTCTGGGCCCCTAGTCGAAGGATGGCTCGACGGTGGGTTGGTCGCGGTCGTCGTCGGGACGACCGGAGGCGGCTGCGGCGACTCGGTGTGCCCGGTTACGGACAAGCTACCCCCGCTGCTGCTGCTCTCTTCACCCTCACTCTCGTAGCCCCCTCCTATTTTGCCCTCGCCAAGGGTCATGCCGTGCACCTGGAACCAGGAGGCGGGGCTTAACGTTAGACTCTCGCGGGAAATTTCGAGCTGGAGTAAGGTTTGGGTTGGGGCCGCGCTAGCTTGGTTGGTTAGTTGGTTAGGATTTGCCAGGGTTGGATGTATGACGCCGGGGAGAAAGAGGGAAACGAGAAAAGGGGAAGCAAGAAGGATCGATCGAGGAGGAGACGAGTTTTCATCGGGGTGATAATAATCTGATAAATCTGATAATTCGATAATTGGTCTTCGAAGAAAGCGCGTGAACGAACTCGAGGAAGATTTTATGTGGAATATGGAAAGAGCGGAAGATTGTGGAAGGTTCTGTCTCGATCGTGGTAAGAGTTATCGAAGATGGCAAAGGGAGCAAAAGGAGCACGCGTTGGTTAAACCGAAGAAACTGGGATCAGGGGGATCGAGGCTCGGTAGGTTTACCCATCTATCCGGCTCTGTCTCTCTCTCTCTCTCTCTCTCTCGTTCTGGTCCTTCGTTCATAATTCAGTGAGCAAATCTCGACGACTGCCTTCCGCGAATCACGGCCGGCGAAAAGCGTGGAGAAGCGAAAGGCGCTCGCTCCTATCCGACGAACCTATCGCGCACGTATCTCGGGAGTTGCCTTTTGGACGGTTCTGCTTCTCTTTCCGTCTTCTCTTCCCCCGTGTGCGCCACGGATAATTTCCTATTAAGATTCCGTAGCCGTTCGTGCATGAACCTTTGGATACCCGGCAGCCACTCTTCCCACAACCGTTTCTTTTTTTCTTTTTTTTTTTTTTTTGTTGTTTCGTTTCTTTATTTTTACTTGAGCCGTTCCAAACGTGTCCACTATCGTTTCCTAGCGTGAAACGAAATGGCAAACACGATAGGCTCCCCCCACTTCTCGATAGTGTCTAGGTGGACGTGTGCAAGGGAACGATCTAAGATTAAGCCGAAATAATATGGAAAAAGAAGAAAAGAAGAAGAGCGATTAATTAATATCGAGCATGCAAAGCATCGATTCAAACATTGGATTGGAACGAGGATCGTCGAGGAACGAAATCGCATTCGATTTGTTCGAATGGGGAAAAAGTGTTGGATCGATCGTTTCTTTCTGCTACTCGAAAAAAAAAAAAAAAGAAAAGAAAAGAAGAAAAAGTTGAAAATCATTATATCAAAATTCATTGGACAAAGAGCGAACGACTAATGGGTAATAGCGCGGGTAGAAGGGGGTCGAATCGTTTCACGATTGCGCACGTACCTTCATATGTTTGCGCAACGAGCTAGGATGAGTATACGACTTGTCGCAGCCGGAAACTCGACAATTGTAAGGCTTGTCGGACGTGTGGACGTGACTGTGCTTCTTGCGGTCGCTGCTGTTCGCAAACCGCCTCTCGCAGCCCGAGTATTCACACTTGAACGGTTTCTCGCCTGGAAAAAGAAGACGGGAATTAATGACTTTGTAATTGAGTCCGGTGTCTACGTCTCCACGCGCTGGATACTTAATTGAAATCTGCTTCCCTGGAGGAGATGCAACTTGGAATGGAAAATGTTAACCATTTCCTTTTCCTCCCTTTCTATTTAATCCATTTAACGCTACGATCCAGATCTTTCTCCATTCCAAGTTTTATACCAATTCACGTGTAATCCACTTACGATTGTTACGTTCCTCCCCCGAGAGAATCGAGATTTTAAATTCTTCTTCGTTCTCAAATTTTTAACATCTTCGCTTCGTTTCGTTATTTCCTCGCGTGCTTTTCTCACGGTCCGTTCGAAATAAATAATTTCGAGAAAGTTACAACGGAAAAAGCATTACGCGCAATTCTATGAAAATTCTATGAGGATGGAAATATTATATTTCCACGATCCTCGAAGCCTCGAGGGAAAAGGAAGAAGGGGATGTTTTGAAAGATTTCTAACCGGAACATGTTAACTACTGCTAGCAATTATCCGGTGCAAGGGAGGTGCGTTGGAAAAGTATTTTCTCCCGGGGGAGAAGCTCGCGGGGTTTCTCGTTCAACTCACAATAGCCTGCTCGAAATGCGATTGCATCGTTTTTACATCATGATTTCGCGAATATCTTGATGAGCAACGGTGGAACATTCTCTCCTCCGGTTGGCCCGGGGGCGAGGAGAGGCGCAATGATATCGAGAGATAAGCTCCCCTGCACACGAATGGCCGCCGCCTCCGCCGCCACCGCCGCCGTCGTCGTCGGGGCGCAACGAGACCGTGTGGCGTGACTCTTATTTATTTCCACCGGAAGTTGACTGGAATATATTTTACCGTCGGCTCACACCCCGTCCTCCACCCGTATACACTCCCTTTTTCCGGCCTCCTTCCTCCTCTCGACTCTCTCTCTCTCTCTCTCTCTATCTTTCTCTCTCTCTCTGAGAAGAAGTGGTGGAGACGCGAGAACAGGAAGCGCAAACTTGGCGGATTTTTTTATGGGGAAAATGGTGGAGGCCAACTTTGCCCTCCCTCTTAAGCTTAAGGGGAGAGAAAAGAGGGAACGTTGAATTCCTAGAGATTTGGTCCAACGTTTGGTGAGAACATTTGAAGAGATATTCGCGATATATATATATATATATATATATATTTTTCTTCTCCCCGTGGAAAAGAAGGGAAATGATGTTCCAAAGATTCTTGTTGCGATCGAGACAAATTCCGAATAAGGATCCAGTTTCGTTTACGAATTCCATTTACGCGGTTGAAGAATAAATAACAATAGGAATCCACAATAAGAAAGAAGATCGAGCTGCATTCGAAAACACCTTTTTATCTTGCCTCATTTCCATTCCACTTTTTTTAAACAAAACTGCTTGACGCAACTGCGATAGGGAAATTAATTTTTCCGTTATGTGTCCATGATATACGTAATCGGGAAAGTCGCAATGTGTACTCGGACAAGCGCAGGACGAGCAAGCGGAAGAATGGTGGAGAATGGTTTTTCGCGTACGTGGGGGATCGAGGCGACGTCGTTATTCATCTCACGTGTGAAAAGCGCGATAACATTGCCATGTTGCAGTGACGTATCGCCGCGACACAGATTATATTTAAATCGGTTGGACGTGTGTCGGGGTGCGGGTACTTATGGCAGCGGCGTCATAAGAAGGCGTCTTAAATATTTATGAAGCTGGAAAGATAGCGGTCCGCGCGATCGCGCGCCCGGTGTCGCCGTCTTATCTGACGTTTCACGTGCCTCTGGCCTCTCCCCTCCCTCCCTCCCTTGAGGCCTCGCCACCATCGCGCTCGTTTCAACGTTTCACGTTCGCAATTTGCCCACGATACACGCGTGTAACCGCGAACCGTATCGAGAAACTTTATTAGAGAAAATTTACGATCCCTCCCCCCCCCCTCCTCCTCCCACCTCCGCGCGTGGTTGCGCGTGGTTTATCTGATCGAAGAGCAGAGAGGAACTCCAGTTTGTATTATTTATACTTCCTTTCCAGTAACGAAAGATTCTAGATGGTAAGCCAGTACGCACGCGAAAGAAAGAGTTATCGAAGAGCGATCTTGACGATCTTAGATTTCGAGTAGCTCGAAGAGGAAATTAGGTCAGCCATCTAATTCGTAATTTCTTTTTGCGCCGAAACACAAGACAACGTTGCTATCAACGTTCCTCGTTTTGGATGTTTAGAGGGATTGGAGATTTTTCGACTCGTATCGATTCGCATTTTTTATTTAGAAATTATCCAAAATTACGAAATCGGCGAAATTTTCGTTGAATCGTCTGTGCAATTCGTATTTTTCGAGACTATCTCGAGGAAGAAAAAGATCGGTCGGGTCGTCTCGAGTCGAGACATTGAAATTGATATTTTAAAACTTGTTTAAGAAATTTGTTCAAACTAAAGATTATCAATTTTTAATCGAGCAAAGTTCGTTTCCGCGTCTCTCTCGAGACGTCAACGACTTGTATACCAGATCGTGTACGATTTTCAACGATCTCCATCTCGATCCAATTCGATGACACTTCCGATTCTCCCTATCTTCGACTCATCCTCGGTGTCTCCACCCCTTCGATTCGCACCTCCTCGAGGAGCCAATCGAGACGGGGTTTGCTTGGCTCGAGGTGGCAAGAGGAGAGGCCGGTTATCCCTCACCGGTATAAAAGGAGAATGTGTCCCTGTGGCGTGCTCCTTCCAAAAACGGGACGATTAATAACTTTTCAAATCTGTCCCCGGCAGGGTCGTGAGCCCGGCGGGGCCGGTTCGGTAGCGAGCGCGTTGGCAAATAAATAGCAGATAAATAAAAGCTCGCGTCTCTCCTACGTCGTGCATTCTGTCGCGGGGTTGCGTGTGCAGATGGCAACAATATGCCGTGAAATATTGCCCCCGGTTGGTCGTGTGCGGGGCCGTGCACGCGTGCGTGTGCGTGCCTCGTCCAATGGGGAAACAGTGTGTGCCTCGATGCGCACGGATCCTACGTGTCTCTCTTTCTCTCTCTCTCTCTCTCCTTTCACCTTCCACTCGAGACGAGACGCTGGAAAGAATCTTGGCGCAAGGGGAGATACGTCCTCTCTCTCTCTCCCTCGAGGGGAAGTTCGAATAAGCTTGAAGAATTTCGCGTGTATATTGGTTTCAACGATTGAGACGGAGGGATGAAGTTTTTCGAGAATGAGAGAGAAACAATAGATTGTTAATCGCGTTCAATGCGGGTGGAAACTTAGTACTTTTTAATTACGAGACTGTATTCGGTCTATATTACACCCGAAACTTTAAAATTCTTACTAAATCCTTTAAATTGCTGGTTTAACGAAAGAAAAGCTTCTCGAGAAGTTCATTGGAGAAATATTCGATCTCTTGTTGCTCGTGCAGAAGTGAAGCAACGGACCCGTTGGCGAAAGTGGATCGTGCGACAAGAGGGAAGAGCAAGCGTGCACAGGGGACACGCAGACGCGTATACATAAAGTGGAGATTCATGGTGGAGCATGGTTACGGTGTACCGTGGCCGGGGAGGAGGCATGGCCCCGAAGAGCAGTTCCCGAAGGGCACTGTAGGCACCGTGTTATGACTTTCAGAATGGGGAGGCACAATGGCCCAGATCCGCGCCGGATAAAATAGTTATTATAATCGTTTTGGCTACGGCCGGGATCGAAGCGAGCGGGAGAGTAGCCGAGCGTTGGAACGCGTATGCGTCTTCGATCCGTGGCTGCAACGTGGATTCAACGTGAATTTCACCCACGTCCCGAATCCGGATCGTCTCCAAAGAGAACAGTTCGAGATGTCGAGTGAGGAAGAAGAAGAATTGCGATCCCAATCTCGAATACTCGAATCGAATTTGCGTTTGGAAAATTTCTTGTTACACGAAATGCGAGAGATTCGTAACGAAGATTGTTGATATTTAATCGAGCAAATTGGATCGATCTTAAGGAATGTTCTCTCGTTTGAGAAATGTTTGAAGGCGTTGAAAATCCCGAGAGAGAATATCTTAAGAAAGTTGCTTGCGTTTTCTTGCTACTCGAAGAAAGAAACACACGTTTTTTTAGAAAGCGCAAACGAATCTCGAAATTTCAAGAGATTCGTGCACAAACCCCGTAAGATTTACTACTGCCGAGATACACTTCCGTCTCGGCAAGTAGGGAGAGCAAGCGGAGGAAGAGGCTTTTTCGTCGCCACGGTTCACACCTTGAAGAGTTTCTGGTATAAAGGCAATCTAGAATTCCATCTTTCCTTGAATGCCTCTTAGTGGGAGACTCATTGAACTGCAGTTTTCGGAAAATCTCTCGGAGTGATATATGGGCGTATATCCATTGTCCTTTTCAAACTCTCCTCCTCTCCCTCTCTTTCTCTCTCTCTCTCTCTCTCTCTCTCTCTCTCTCTCTCTCTCTCTCTCTCTCTCTCGTTTCCCAGGGATAATGGATGATTTTTCGCGACCATTATACTGGAAGAGGACACCAGGTCCTGAGCGGGACATTGTTGCAAAGCACGGCAGAAAACCAAACTTTCCCCCTCTCCCTCTCTTCGTTTCGAAAATCTTTCGACCAGTCACTCTCTCTTTTTCTCCCCCCTTTCTCTCTCTCTCTTTCCTTCTCCTCGCTCCATTCCCCTCCCTCTCTATTATCGAAAGGTTCTCGGGTGGATAATTTTCTTGTTATACGTTCGGCATTAGTGAAAACCGAGAAATCATCCCTGCGTGTTGTATCGTCCGTTCCGGGCCGGAAGATAAGATCCCCGAAAAGTCGACGAGAGAGATCACACCGGGTCGATCTCGACGGCGGACGGATTAGGACGGTGAGATATTGGATCTAGATAAATCCAATGGGAGGCTCGCGTTTCGTAAATTGATTGCGCCTGTGGATCCCTTCTTTCTCCCCTCCTCGCCCTTTCTTTCTTCCTCCTTTCGAACACGGTGAATCGAAACTTCCTCCTCCTTCTGCGAACGATTTGATTTCTGTCCTCGTGGCAAAAGTCTCTCTGTTTCTCTCTCTGTCG